GGTCCCGGTTCGATTCCAGCGGTAAAATGTTTCGACTCTTTGCTTACACCTGTTTGCTCCTTTCACGCTCAGCAGAAAATAGGTACCGGCGTAGTTATCGACTGGTAGTGGGTGGACGCGATCGCCTGGGGTGACAAGATTGAAGGATCAACAATGGAAATGCATTAAGGATGTTTGTCCCCTGTTCACCAGTAGTAAGTATAGGAACCTGGTGTTAGTCACATCTGCGTCCCTGTTCACACCTGGTGTAAGAGTTCACCTGGGTGTATAGTCACTTTACAGGATTCTGTCCACGTTCACTTCGCGCAAGTAGGTACCTGCATGGTTATCACCTTAAATCTGCTGCCTGTTCACACTAGCAGTAAGTAGGTACTCATGCGGTGTTAATCACCCCCATTACACCTGCTGACACCTTGTTTCAACATTAGGCATAAGTAGTGTACCTGAGTTTTTAATCACCCTTAAACTCTCCTGTCCCTGTTCACCTCGCCGTAAGTAGGTACCCTGGAGTTATACCACTACTGTCCATATTCATGGAGCAGTAAGAGTAAACTGGGTGTTTAGCACACCTGCTGTCCCTGTTACACTTAGCAGTACACGTAGGTACTAGGGTGGGTTTAATCACCTTAAACCTGCTCTGACGCCTGTTCACTTAGCAGTTAATAGGTAACCTGAGTGTTAATCACCTTAAACCTGCTGTCCCCTGTAAGCCTAGCAGTAAGTAGCTACACATCTGAGTGTTAGTTTGACCTTACACCTGCTGACCCTATTCAACCCAGCATAAGTAGGGTTACCTGAGTGTTAATCACCTTACACCATGCTGACCCTGTTCACGTAGCAGTAAGTAGGTACCTGGGTGTTAGTCCCCTTCTATACAACCTTCTGTCCCTGTTCACCTAGCCCGTGAAGTAGGTTACCTGGGAGGTAGCCACACCTAGTTCCAATTCATGGACAGTAATAGGTACCTTGGGTGTTAGTCACACCTGCTGTCTAGTCCTGTTCACTTAAGCAGTAAGTAGGTTACCTGAGGATTAGTCCACATGTGCTGTCCATGTTCACATAGCATAAGTAGGCACCTGGGGAGTTAGTCACATGTGTGCTGTCCAGGTTCACTAGCAGTAAGTTGGCACCTGGTATTAGTCACATCGCTGTTCCATGTTCACCTAGCAGTAAGTAGGCACCTGGGAGTTAGTCACATCGGAGGTCTGTTACACAATGTTGTCTACGTCGCCAGTAAGTAGGTACGCCTGGGAGTTAGTCAAACCTCTGCTTTCCATGTTTCACCTAGCAGTAAAGTAGGCACCTGGGAGTTAGTCACATCGTGCTGTCCATATTCACGCCAGCATAGAGAAGGCGTACCTGGAGTTAGTCACACAAGCTGTCATGTTTACTGACGTCTTCTTGTACGGTCCATCTACAATCCTTACTCTGGCTGTACTACACTAATACTGATTTTGATATACCTATTGCTGCTGAAGCAACATGTACTCTCAGTACACAGGGATCATAACAGTACCTAATCCAAGTATTGTTATACCTATTAGCCTGAGTACTTATCGACTTGTTTCTTAATATGTGTCCACCTATTAACAGACATAATATCAGTAAAGCTCCAACGGAGCCTTCTGTTTGCAGGCTGAGGGATGATCCCTCAGCTTACAAGGAAGCTCTTCTACTCAGTGCTGAGGAGTGATCACGCTCAGCTCCATGAGCTTCTTCTCCAGGCTACGGGAGTGATCACCCAGCTCCATGAGCTCTCCTCCCAGGCTGAGGAGAGTGATTCACCTCAGCTTCCATTGAGCTTCTTTCTCCAGCTGAGGACTGATCAACTCAGCTTCTATTGAGCTCCATGTCTCATCAGGCTGAGGGACTGATCCACCTCAGCTCCATTGAGCTCTTCTCCAGGGTAGGTCTGAACACCTCTCAACTCCATGGAGCTCTTCTCCAGGAGCTTGTCGGGACTGATGACCTCAGCTGCCATAGGAGCTATCTCCAGGCTGAGGGATCAGAATCACCTCAGCTACCATTGAGCTCTTCTCCAGACTGAGGGACCTGATCACCTCAATCTCCTATTGAGCACTTCTCCAAGGCTGAGGGACCTGATCACCTCAGCGCCATGAGCTCTTCTCCAGCCGAGGGACTGATCACCTCACATCCCATTGACTCTTCTCCAGGCTAAGGAACTGATCAGCTCAGCTTTCCATTGAGCCTCTCTTCTCCAGGCTGAGGGATGGGCTGATTCACCTTCAGCTCCCATGGAGTCTTCTCCAGGCGAGGGACTGATCACCTCAGCTCCATGGAGCTCTTCTCCATGCTGAGGACTGATCCCCTCCAAGCTCCTTTTGAGCTCTTCTCCAGGCTGAGGACTGATCACCTCAGCCCAACATGAGCTCCTTCGTCCAGCCTGCGAGGCGAACCTAAGGATCACCTCAGCTCCATTTGAGGCTCTTCTCCAAGCTGAGGGACTGTTCACCTCACCTCACACTGAGCTCTTCTCCCGCTGAGGGACTGAGTCCCTTACGCGGCCCTACACTGAGCACTTTTCCCGCTGAGGATTATTCGCGCCTCACTCCAAAGGCGTGCTCGTTCTCCAGGCTGAGGAACTGATCCACCCACGTACTCCATGGAGCGCTTCTCCAGGCTGCGGAACTGATCACTCTGTCAGCTCCAATGCTACGTGCGTGCTTCTCCAGGCTGAGGAAGCTGATCACCCTCAGTCTCCACGAGCCTTCGCAGGCTGAGGGACTGATCACCTTCAGCTCTCCACTGAGCTCTTCTCTCCAGCTGAGGCGAGATCTGGATCAACCTCAGCTACCACTAGGCAGCTTCTGCCAGGCTGAGGGAACTGATCACCTCAGCTCCACTGAGCTCTTCTCACCCAGGACTGAGGAACTCGATCTCGCCTCAGCGCTCACTGAGCTCTTCTCTTCCTCAGGCTGAGAGGGACGATACACCTCACTCCACTGAGCTCTTCTCCAGGCCTGAGGAACTGAAATGGCACCGTATCAGCTCCACTGACGCTCTTCTCCAGCTTGAGGAGACTGATTCACCTCAGCACTCCATGGAGCTCTTCACCTCCAGGCCAGGCTGAGGGACTGATCACCGAGCTCGGGCTCCATTTGGAGCCTTCATGCTAAGGCTGAGGGTACGATCACCCTCCATGGACTCTTCCTTCCGAGCTAGAGGGACTGATCACCTCAGCTCCATGAAGCTTACTTCTTGCGCAGCAGTACTGAGGGACTGATACACCTAACAGCTCACCGATGGATAGCTCTTAGGCATCTAGGCTCGAGGGACTGAGCACACTGCTCACCTCCATGGGAGCGCTCGTTCTCCAGGCTGAGGGACTGACCCCCTCACCTCCATGGAGCTCTTACTCGCAGGCTGAGGGACTGCTCACCTCCCCCGCCCCAAATACCCTCCCATGGAGCTCTTCTCCCAGGCTGAGGGAGACGGATGCCCTCACCTCCATGTGCCTACCCACTCTCCAGCTGAGGGACTAATCACCTCACCTCCATGGAGCTCTTCACCAGGCTGAGGACTGACAGACCCACCTCCATGGAGCTTCTTCTTCCAGCTTAGGGACTGCACCACCTCAAGCCTCCGATGAGGCTCTTCTCCAGGCTGAGGGACTCTCACGCGATCACCTCCATGGAGCTCTTTCTCCCAGGCTTGAGGGACTGATCACATCACCTCCATGGAGCTCTTCTCCAGGCATTACGGGACTGACCACCTCACCCTCCATGACCAGCTCTTCTCACAGGCTGAGGCGACTGCTCACCTCAGTCTCCAATGGAGCTCTTCTCCAGGCTGAGGGACTGCTCACTCTTCACCTCCATGGAGCTCTTACCAGCTGAGGGACAGCTCGACGGCCTCACCTTCCATGGAGCTCTCCAGGCTGAGGGACTGACCACCTCACCTCCATGGAGCTCTTCTCCAGGCTGAGGGACTAATCACCTCACCTCCATGGAGCTCTTCTCCAGGCTGAGGGACTGACCACCTCACCTCCATGGAGCTCTTCTCCAGGCTGAGGGACTGATCACCTCACCTCCATGGAGCTCTTCTCCAGGCTGAGGGACTGATCACCTCACCTCCATGGAGCTCTTCGCCAGCTAGTCTGGGAATGATCATCCTCACCACGCTGCCATGGAGCTCTTCTGCAGGCTGAGGGGACTGATCACCTCACCTCTCCATTGAGCACTTCTCCAGGCTGAGGGACTGATTCACCTCACCCTCCTATTGAGCTCTTCTCCGGCTGAGGGACTGATCACCTCACCTCCATTGAGCTCTTCTCCAGGCTGAGGGACTGATCACCTCACCTCCATTGAGCTCTTCTCCAGGCTGAGGGACTGATCACCTCACCTCCATTGAGCTCTTTCACCACAGGCTGAGGGACTGATCATACCTCACCTCCATTGCGAGCTCTACTCTCCAGGCTGAGGACTGATCACCCTCACCCCATTGAGCTACTCTCCAGGCTAGGACGATCACCTCACCTCCATGGAGCTCTTATCTCCAGCTGAGGGTCCTGATCACCTCACCTCCATTGATCTCTTCTCCAGGGACTAGGGACTGACACCTCAGCTCCATTTGAGCTCTTCTCGCTAAGCTGAGGACTGATCAACCTCACTCTATGGAGCGCTCTTCTCCAGGCTGAGGGACTGACCACCTCACCTCCATGGAGCTCTTCTCCAGGCTTAGGGACTGATCACCTCACCTCCATGGAGCTCTTCTCAGCTTAGGGTACAGATCATCCTCACCTCATGGAGCTCTTCTCCACCTTAGGGACTAATCACCTCACACTCCATTACAGCTCGTCTTTCCAGGCGAGGACTGATCAACTCACCTCCCATTGAGGCTCTTCTCACACAACTTAGGACTTAATCACCTCACATCCATGGAGCTCTTTCTCCAGCTTAGGGATACTAATCACCTCACCTCCATGAGCTCTTCTCCAGGCTTAGGGACTGACCATCTCACCTACATGGAGCTCTTCTCCAGGCTGAGGGACTAATCACCTCACCTCCATGGAGCTCTCTCACAAGCTGAGGGACCTGATCACCATCACCCCCCATGAGCTCTTCTCCAGGCTGAGGGACTGATCACCTCAGCTCCATTGAGCTCTTCTCCAGGCTGAGGAACTGATCACCTCAGCTCCATGGAGCTCTTCTCCAGGCTGAGGGACTGACCACCTCACCTCCCCTGTAGCTCTTTTTTTTTCTCAGGCTTTAGGGACTGATCACCTCACCTCCATGGAGCTCTTCTCCAGGCTGAGGGACTGATCACCTCACCTCCATGGAGCTCTTCTCCAGGCTGAGGGACTGATCACCTCACCTCCATGGAGCTCTTTCTCCAGGCTTTAGGGACTGACTATCATCTCACCTCATGGAGCTCTTCTCCAGGCTAGGACTGACACCTCACCTCCATGGACTCATCCTCCAGGAGGCTTAGGGACAGACCATCTCACCTTACCTCCATCATGAGCTCTTCTCCAGCTTTGCAGACTGATCACCTCACCTCGAGCTCTTTCTCCACACTTCTTTTCTTTTTCTAGGCCTCCGGGGACTGACCAACTCAAATATTTTTCTCCAAGATTGATGGACTGATTAAATTCATTTTCCCATTACTACTGCTCCCTATTATATTTGATGGCCCATGGTCCGGGGGCGTAAAGCTCCCGCTTCATTCACACACGGAGGGGCCCGGGTTGGGCGATTCCCGGCAGGTGGAAATTCCGACAAACGTTTCCTACAACCTATTGTCCTGTTCACCTAGCAGCACCTAGGTACCGCTGGTGTTTGTCGCGACTGGTGTGCGGTCGCATCCTGGGGGCGGACAAATTAAGGACCCCAATGGAAATAAGTGTAGACATCCTCGGTTGAACGCACTAGGACTTTCTTGGTTATTACCTGGGTGGCTAACCTCTCCGGGTTAAACCCGAACGAAAATCTATCTTAATCTTAAGACACTGCTGTGTAGAGCACGAGTGTCGGGAAATTACACATTGTCAACAAGACGGCTAGTTTGAGGGAGCCTTGATTGTCTTATGCTGTCTTTATACTATGTCCTTGTATTGCACTGCTGAAGCCACTGGAGGGCGAAACGTCTACAAGTAAAGCTAGACAGATGTTGCACATGTGTCTAAGTCTTCATTATGGAAAATTTGCCTACCTGTATTAGGACACCGAGATTATTACCATCCTTACACACTTCTGTAGGTCAAGGAGTACATGTCTAAAGCAGTTAGGTGACCTTTAGTTAGGTTACGTTACCAGGTAACTTCTGGACTGGTACTTCAAGTGCATCGATATTATTAGTGGAACTAAGAATATTGATGTCAACTGTTACCCGACTCGAATCAGATTAGTGGATACTAATTGGATACAGTCGGGTAAACAGTTGACATCAATATTATTAGTTGGAACTAAGAATATTGATGTCAACTGTTACCCCATTTGAATCAGATTATGGAGCTAATTTGATACAAGTCCGGGTAACAGTTGACATCAATATTATTAGTGGAACCTAAGAATATTGAGTCAACTGTTACCCCGATTTGAATCAGATTATGGAACTACTTTGATACAAGTCGGGTAACAGTTGACTCAATATTATTAGTGTCACTAATAATATTGGATGTCAACTGTACCTCGACTTGTATCAAATTAGTGGAACTAATCTGAATCAATTCGTGGGTGATCATATGCACCTCGTCGTTAATAGTAGGTGATTAATACGTGAAAATTACTCCATTTCCAGTATCCAGTGAGCCACAAGTGTCACCAGAAGAATGACACACTCGTTAAGACATCCAGTGGGTTCACAGGTGGCTGGTGAGACATTAGGGTTCTAGCTCCCCACAACAGGGGGTGTGAAGGCCTGGTGTCACCAGACACATTTCCATTAGGAACTGGCCTCCACACTCCAGTGGTTCCACAGTTTATGGCTGAGGTGGCTGGCTGGCTCACACCTAGCTGCCCA